AAGCGCACGTGCTTTGCAGGGGAAACCCATGTTTTTTGAATGAAATAAATAGGCCCGCATAGCCAGACCGGGGAGAGTGTGTGATAGGTTTCGTCGCGATTCCTATTGTTTTCTCGGGAGCGCGCTTGGACATCCTACCCGGTGAGCCAAGAAAGACTTACGAACGATTTTACGAACTATAGTGTGTGGCGTAGTATTTCCAGGGGGTATTCCCAAGTGGTGACCTTATTTTTTCAGAAGGTTTGTGTTGTGTTATTAATTATAAAGTTACCACCCATTATGAATCCGACCAATAATGAGATTCACCGTTCTGGTGGGGACAACCTAGCGCTACAGGGGACAACGGTGGTGAAACCTAGTTCACCCACCAACTCTAATTCAACTACCTATATGGACCAAAGTGCGGCCAAATCTCCCGCGTCATCAATCGGTGAATGTTTCGGCTTTTCGGTTTCCCCCCAACGCAACAGAGTAATATAAAAATATAATTTTTGACACTTTAAAACTGACAGCATGAAATAAAATATGAAATTTTCAAAAATGTATAGAAAGTCTGATTCATATTTAAGAGAAGACTTGGTCTTTTGGTCAGCAGTTTCGGTCAACTGGTGTTTTTTCTATGTGGAATTCTCTTTTCTTATGTGTAATTATATAAACATCTAATGTTTTTTTTATTATACTTACTTTGATAACTGGAATGGGGTTTCAGTTAATACGGGCAGCGTTACCATTAAAAATTACAAAATTGGGGTGGCCGGGATGTTAAATGTAGGTACGTTACTTAGTTGATAATTTCCTTTCATTCTACTTTCTTCAGGAACCGCATCTAGAATAGGAATATTTCATGATTTTTTCATTCTTGAGATATAGCCATAGCAAGTTTTTTTAAATGTATCCCCATTAGAGCAGTAGGTACCTATTGAGATCACCTCTTCGCATTTATGCAAAAAGTGCTTATTGATTTAATATGGACTAAATTTATGAGAAGTGCTTATAGAACTTTCAGACCAAGGTGCACTTTCGAAAGTCAGCGCTGGTTTTTTTTAAGTAATCGACCTCTTATGTTCCTGTAAACTAATGTGCTTAGAACAGTAATCGTTTTTCATTCCAGGAATATATCTATCCCAGGTTTTTCATATTGTTGTTGCTTGTATAAATATGTTATCAAAATTACAAATAGAAATAATTCCGTTTTATATATTTTTAGAAGTAAGATTTTCAGTTTTGGCACAACGGTAAAACTAGCAAGCTTAATTGTTTAGGGCACTCATTTCTAACGTTTCTAAATGAAGTAAGTTAAGTATGTGATTTGCAGTGCTTTCAAAATCGTCATTAGGTTTTCCCAAATATTATAACTTTACTTCCAAAAATTATCTCTCTACTGGTTTACTTGTGACCTAAAGTTTGATACTGAACTACCTACCGAGCTTCAATAATGGAAACTGCAAAAAGCTATTTTAAACTTGAGCTACTCTTTCGTAGATGAATAAAATAATTTAGTCATTCAATGACGAAATTTCGTTAATATTCAATAACTTTCGTATACCATTGTTTAATTTTTCAGATTATTATTATACTACTTATATATGTATACCTACTACCTATATCACAGAATTTATTCCTACCTATTAGAATTACTTTCATCGACATCTTCCACATTTATTTCTTCTAGCAAATAAATACCTCAAATAATGTATAGGTACTATGAATGATTTATATATTTTTTTATTTGTACGTAAGCAAAAAATTCGCTAATTAAATAATAAATCGGATAAGACAGGTTTTGGCTGTGGACATATTTTTAACGGCGAAAGAAATGGGACGCCGTTATTAAAGAAAACTAAAAGCCAGATAGATGAGTGTCGCGATGGTAAATTTCGGTTACTTAATACTTTCAGAATGTATCTAATAGCGAAATGGTTCGATCAATGCCTTCAATAGTAGGGTATTGTAGTATGTTATGAGTAAAGGAAAAATAATGAAATTATAGGGTGATTACGAAAAATTCAATAATTGAAAACATTGAAAGCCCATTTCCGGCAATATCTCCCTAAGGCGCTACAGCATAACTTCAAGACCATTATGAACAAAAACGTGTTTTCTCTAATTTCGATGCATTTTATTTTAATTTGTTGGCATATATTGGAAATATCACGTAAATGTTATCATTCCTCTTTGTCAGCATAAAGGAGAAAAGCCATAATCTATGTTTATATTCAGAGAATTCGACTCGTAATTTTGAGTCGCTGATCTAAGCATAAATGGTTAAGCTCAACCGAATTATATCGATGAATTTTAGTCTAATAAGAGAGCCTTAAAGAACTCGTTGTATCAACAACATAATAAAATACGTTCTGCTTGTGTTGAGATAAATACATAGTTATTTTATTTCAATGCCCTTTTCCCTATTAATAATCTAATAGCATACCTATACCAATCATTCTGATTGTATCAAAAATCGCCCTTGAACTTGAATCCTTGGAAGTGGTCGTTTTCACCGACTTCAAGTGCCATAAATAAGAAATCTAAAGGCGTGAGATCCTATGACCAGAGGCCACAAAAATCACAAAGTTTGATCAACTGTTTACAAAGTATAAACGATGTAGAAAACACTGCTAGATACGCCCTGCTTTAAACGATTACGTATGTAAGTATAGTCATTGGCTTGCAACTGATAATCTGCCTGCGTCGAACCTCTGACTGCGTGTAAATGGTAGGGATAAAGTTCTTTATGCAACAGCCGCCAATGGGAAGTTTGGGTGGTACCCAGACCATGCGCAATTTGACAAATGCTAGTCGAAAGGCCATTGGCAACTCGGTTAAAACCAGCTTTCTCAAAATGCAAGTTAGGTTTTAAAGTGCTAGTATCGGGAGGTCACCGAAGAATTACAATAAACTTGAGTTATACGCCAGTTAAAATAAGACATCATACACTTAAGAATACATATTTTTGCACAGAAAGGGCCTTAAAGATCATGGGCGGTAGGGCTTTAACCAAATATTTTTGGGCATACATGCTTATACTCAGATACCTTCTATTGATACAGCCGAGCAATCCCTGAAAGTTTCATCACATAGTTCTGAACCACCCCACAAAGATTTGTTCTTATAAGTATGCAAATATTATCCTTATGTTACAGAGAATTTCTATTTACAAATAAGACCACATTTTATTTTCTTCGTTGAACAAAATCCTTCTTTATTCGGGAGATATCAGATACATTAATGAATTACGAATTTATTGTTTTAACTATTGAAATAATGATGTGAAATGCCTATGCAAATGTTAAGATGTGAAAACATGCAGACCCTTTAGCATTACTAGTATGGTAGACTAAGGAGTCTTTTAACTAGCAGTTATTTAATGGTCATTTAAAAAATCAATTAATAAGTTAATAGCGCAGATTATGTTTATAAAAAAAATAGGTCGGTATCTCCTTTGAATATACGGAATTACGTTCAAGAAATATATAATTATAAGGGTAGTGGTCAGATATGTATCTGACAGTTTATTGTATGTAAAACTGACCGTCGGTTTCCATATATAGAAACTTTGAAGTTTGTAAAGAACTAAGTACCTAAGTTAAAATATCGAAAATGACTGTTGATGAAATAGTTCGATCGGGACTAATCTTCCAGATCTTCGTCTTCATTTCGGTTGCTTGGTTGTCTTGGTCGTAAAGTCATCGGATGGGTTGGCATCCATTCGGCGGGATAGAATGCCTGAACGCACCTGGGTATCATATATATATTCTTAGGGTGTTCCCGAAAGTTGTCTTGAAGCCACATCACTACTTTAGCGTTTGCAGCCATTGCTTCAAAAATATCAATTGGGGATAGCGAACGTGGGGGTGATTCCATCGGACCTTGAGGTTAAAACCAAAAATATGTAACAAAACCATTAAACCATTTTCATTAAACAATTCATCAAAGTTAACAGACATTTTAGAAACTCATTTATTAAAGACCATGTTGATTTTATTTTTTGCAGAATTAATTACGCTTGTCAATGAAATAGACTCGATTTATTTGGTTTAATTGCTCACACACGCAGAACGATTCTTGTCATACGAAGTCAAAAGTGAATTTGAGATAAAGAATGGAAACTCGATTTCCAACACCGCTTTTAAGCGAGTGTTTCACTGCTTTGGGCTATGAATTGAATATATGAAATTTGATAAATTATTTTCTTAACTTGCCTGTCATGAACCTGCCTTCGTGATCTTCGTATTCGGCACTTCTTTTAAAGCATGATCGTATTTTGGAATTTAAAGATTTAAAACAGGGTTTGATAATTAATGATATTATTCATCTTTAATAATAAGAGATGAACATAGTCTACAAAATGTTTGTTGCATAATAATTTATTTTTTTAAATACAGGCTTTCATATAACTTGGAATTTATTTTATTCAGTTATAGTGATGAAGCGATGTTTGACTGGTGCTTATTGAAATATTTCTCAACAGAGCATTGATTATTAAATTTCAGTATCTATCTGTTTCAGGATTAAAAAGCATAAAGTATATATCCAAGAAAATATAATAGAAAGACAACAGTAATAAACAAATTCTATTACCTTTTTATGTTAAAAAACGCTTTCGAGTAAGTAACTGTTGTAGCAGAAATATTTTTTTGCATATGAATTTCTCCAATAAACACAACCGATTTAATATGAGTAAAATGCATTGCTAGTCTTCTAAGAAACTTAAATAGTTCTAAGTGAATAAACAAATTTATACCTAATTCCCTTCTAAAATCTTCAATAAGTTTTTCATAATTCATGATTACGCAATTTGAGCTTTGTGTTAGTTTGATAGTTAGAGTATCACGCTGTTGTTTTGGAGCAGTATTGTTTTTTTATTTCTAACCACCAAATTTTTCTCGGTATTTAGGTTAAATTTTGAGCATATAGGTAATATAGGGATCTGGAGGCTATATTATTAGTTATTGAATCAAGTTACAAAACATGTCATCGACCAGTGAATTAACTAATGTAATTAATTTAATTATTAATCTATAAGTAATCAAGGGAATATCACTGCAAGACTTTGAATTAATCGTAATATTACCAAATAATTTTTCGAATCTAGTTTAAATGGCCAAATAATATTATTGTGATTCAATCATTTATTCATGACGCACAATTCATCATAGTCCAGATATTTTTTCCTTAATTAAGCTAAAATAAATACATATTTAAATGAGTTGCTCTGGTTTCATATTCAAGAACGAAAGAAAGGCATTACACAGTGTAATCAATAATCAGTAATTCAAACTTTAGAAAGCAATCGACTTATAACCTGAAGTGGTGACATCCATGCCAATGGGGTTCTACAGGTAGAATTTAACTGCTAAAAAATATAGAGTAATGATGACAGCAGCCAGTGGCACGGTTTCGTAGATCAAACATTTTTTTGATGTGTGAAATTTACGTCACGATATTAATGTACCGTGTGAACGAGCCTTAAAGGTTTGATTACTGGCAGTAGGCTTGATGACAGTATAAAAGAATCAAAGAATATACAGTGTTAAAGAAAAATATACATTGAAAATATTCCAAAATATCACCGATTGTTAATATCTGCAAGAGTTTTGTTAAAATACATACTGCAACCGGACATGTAACTGAAACACCAATCAGACCGCATGACGTCACGCATTCGTAAATAATAGCCGCGTGTGTTCTTCAAATAACGTAAATCTTGGAAAAATATCTACCTGAACTTCCGGGTACAATTTCTTCGACATGAAAATATTTAGTAACTCTAATAGTTCCATTTAATTGTTTTTCAAATTCTTCAAGATCCATCATCTTTCCCTTCTTACGTAGGTATACATGGTCGTTCAATAGTATCAGATGTTCGTGTCATCCTGTCTAGTTGGCATGTATTTTTCCTTGGGAATATACCCTTGATTTATATGAATTGATACCTCATATAGTTTCCATATTACTCGTACTAGGCAGCTGAAAGGAGAATAAGTACTATACAGGGAAAGATAACCAAAACCAACATAACGTCAGGAAATTCTTTATATAATGCTAATATAATTAATATTTAATCTCAAAAATAAATTCTAAATTATACACCTATCAATGTGCAGCAAAAGCCTATATCAAAGTAGTCTCCACAAAAATAAATGAAAAGTGAAATTCGTGACTACATTTGCTGAGTTCCGCCTTGCGAGCTTTAGCCATTTATGGTTATTTTCTTGGTTCGATCGTAATGAGACAATTTATTAGGTGTTGCTGCTGAAGAGTTTTCACACACTTTCTCCTCCTTTTACAGAAGAACCTCACACGATTTGCAACATTTGAAATTAATGTTTAACACTTAAAATGTATATTTTGTGAACTTTACTTATATTTTAGCAAAATTTACGAAGTCGTGACGTCACAAGCGGGCGCCATGGCACCTCCAAGCGTTTTCGCGATTAATTCAAAATAAAAAGATTCGATGCGATTTTCAATATTTTCTTTGCGGAAATAATGTTTTTTTCGGAAATAGCAAACCTGTACCTACATTACAGAAAGTTATTTCAAAATATGTCATCATGTCTATTAACCTACTAATGGAAGTGTTCAAACCAGTAACCTCGCTCCATTTTAAGTTACTTAACAAGAACGAAAATCAATGCAAAACTCCATACAAACTATTATTCAAATGCCGTCACCAGTAGCAAATTGTTTAAGGATATTGCGCAGAACACTCGTGCTAGTCTAATGTATAAAATTTGCTTAAAGTTGCATTAGAGAACATCGTAATTACATAAACTGGCTCTAGTGCTAAAGACAGAGAGTTGCATTAGGTATTTTATTTCAACTTGTTTGAATGATAGGCTGTGGCCACACAAACCATTTTTTTTATCTGGTGTCGAGACACTTATATCCTGTAGTATTTGGACTTGCTGAGTCCAAATCTGCGGTTAGTTTGACTCTATCAGGTCAGGATCACAAGCTGTATCATAGCTGATCATAGCTATATATATATAATAGCCTGTACAAACTTTTTCGTCTTCCCCCTGTACCTAGGAATTT